AAATTAATTGATTTAAAATATACATATATATATATATATATATATATATATATATATATATATATATATATATATATATATATATCCATACGTAAATTAATGGATAGCGGATTATATTATAGGAATATATGAGAGCTGAGTGGCGGAATTGAGGAATCGAGAGCTGAGTTAATCAGCGCCTAATCCATTACATTCACTACGTGCTAATACCCTTGGGAAAGGTGTGAATCCTCTTCTTCTCCCTGCAGCTATAGGCAAATAGCAGGAGAGACTGGGTTCTATAGCCTTGGATGGCAACTGGTCTAGGAGAAGGACAACTCTGAATTCAAAACCTGCAAAGGGTCGTTTGGGGACCTTGTGGCACTTAGTGCACCAGGTCTCTGTATTTGGCCCTTCAAAAAGTGTGGATGGTCCTGCACGAAACCTTCATCACTATAATCAAATCCCATGTGTCGTTGTTGGGCTGTTGCTTTCCTGGGAACTGATCTGCTTGACCCTCATACATCGAACTCAACATATATATATATAGTGAGCCCCTGCCAATTCGCATTTCACCATTCATGGCTTCACACATTCAGGGATTTTTCTTTAGAACATATGTACTTGTTATTTGCGAAAACCCTGAATATTTGTGTGTTTTTCTGAAGAACATATGAACAAATTATTCACTGAGAAGTCCTTCGATTCGCGTATTTTTTTGATAGAACATTTTAAAAATATTCTTGTATTATTTTCCTGTTATTTAAGTGACTTAAAACATATAACAGTCCATTTTTTGGTAAAAATTGGCAGAATTATACATCTTCATTGTAAAAAACAAGCGTAAAAACATGCGCTGTACTTGGGGTTTGTTCTTTGTTAGGGGCTGCGGCTGGGGTCTTAAAAGTGGTTTATGCTAAGTCTGGGGGGCATCATCACAGTTCTGTTTTTAAAAAAATAATTTAAACTTTATATTTCATGTCTTGTTACACATATTTTATACAATATTTTCAATCGTTGTATCGATCTATGCATAATTAAAAACGGTTATTGTACGTATGAAAAAAATTTACGCTAAGTCTATGATCACCAATACTATTTTTCAAAAATGTTTTAAAAAGGATCTGAAATGTTTAGGATGAAAGTTTGAGGCATATGGTGTTTTAACAATCAAAATTAACTCCCACAAATATGGGGGACTCACTGAGTATGTGTGTGTGTGTGTGTGTGTGTGTGTGTGTATATATATATATATATATATATATATATATATATATATATATAGGCATGGTAGAGTAATGGATAGCGGCTTGGATTGAGGAATTGGAAAGCCAAATTCAGATTCCAGCTGGATCCATTACGTTCACCTATATGCTAATACCCTTGGGAAAGGTATGAATACTCTTCTTCTTCCCCCAGCTATGGGAAAATAACAGGACAGACTGTGTTCTATAACCTTGGGTGGCAACCGGTCTAGGAGAAAAAGTCTGAATTCAAAACCAGCCTGGAGAGGGTTGGGCTCTGTCAGTCTATCTTGTTCAAGAAACACCACTGCGGCTGCAGTACACATGGTGCCCATACAACCCCACAGGTTACGGGATAAAAAAAATTATATATGGTTTGAATTACCTATTTAAGGAAAGAACATCTCTTATTGGGACTCCTGCAAATCTATATATGCTAGCTTCAGTTTCATAACCTAAACGTCGTTATGCATCCTAGAAATTTCAACTATTTCTTTCTGATTCTAAGCAAAAGTGTTTTTTGTTTCCGTTTTCCTGCCTTGTTGCTCACATGTTCCGTCCATGGTATTCTCAGCATCCTTCTGCAGAACCACATCTCTGTTGCCTCAAGTTTTGTCTTCATTTCTGAGAAAATTGTCCAACATTTACTGCCATAGAGAAGGATTGAAATTACATGGCATTTCAGCTTTTTCTCATTAATGGAATTTTCCAGTTTCTTAATAATTTATTTAGTCTTTTGAAAGGCATATTTTTGCTATTAGCAGGTGAAAAATGTACCTGAAGATTGTCAAAGAATTGACAAGCTGAAATATAGAGATCAAAACAACAAAGATGAGGATACCATTTGAGATGAGTCATAATAATTAGAACTGATGCACAACCTGAACTTCTGCACTTAATATTAGGATGAATCAAAAACTGAAAATTTCCAGTATATTATGACAGCTTCAAAGATAATCAAAATGTTCCATATAGAGAGGACTAAGACAAAGATGAATTTTCTTGTCGGATTTTTATTTAACCCATACAATGAGATGACCCTAAAATAACTAGAAGACCAACCACGCTTTATTATCGATGGACATAACCTTAACAGTATAAGACATGCAGATGACATGATTTTGATAGCAAACTCAGAAAGAAAACTTAAATTAGTAAGAAAAACCAAGATGGAAGGACTATTAACTGTAAGAAGGCAGAATGTGTTATTGTCAAGCTCAGAAACAGCCATGGTTTTGATAAAAGACCCAGAAAGAAAACTGAAAGAACATTTAAACAAGGTAGGAAGAGAAAGCAAAATGAAAGGATTATTAATTTCTTCTGTCACACTTCTCACCTATGGAAGTCTCTTTCAACTTCTTGCTTTTCTGTTGACTACAATCTGAAAAAATTTAGATGCAATGTCAATCATCATCTTTTGCCTCCTTGAATCCTATGACCTTTTATTGTCCTTTCTCCTCAGTAACATTTTCCTCTTTCTTATTTCTGTATTGTGTCATACTCAGCAACCCATCTGCTTGGGGTGAAATTATATATATGTACTGTAATGTCAGATGTATGCAGTTGTAGGCTTTAAGAAAGCTTTATTTAACTGAAAATACAAGGATTCGTGTATAGTGTTCTTTTATAGCCCCAGTAAACAGAACTAGCTCTCTCAAAGAGAAGATTAACAATACAAGGGGAGACCACTCTTGATTATTCATAACACATATATACAGGGTGTCCATAAAGTTCGTGTGCACTTTAAAAAATTTATAACTTTATTTGTATTTGCAAAAGAAATAATTTGTAAAAGGGATTAGAAAGAAGTAAATCTATATTTTTTAAAGTTTTATTGAAATTTTATTTAAGTTTCCACATGCCCTCCATCATTAGCAATACAAAGGGTAATACGATTTTGAAGTTCACAGAAAACATTTGCCAACTGATTTACAGTAATGCCTTAAATCACATTAGTTATTTTAGCTATACTTAAAACTAGGTACATTAAACTTTATAACATTTTTTATAGATTATTTCTATATAAATATACTCGACTCTCCCGTCGAATTCGACATATGAGGGTCAAGCAGATCAGTTGCTAGGAAACCGACAACCTGACAACAGCACAGGAGATTTAATTATAGTGGTGAAGGTTTCATGCAGGACCATCCACACTTTTTGAATGGCCAAATACAGAGACCTGGTGCATATATATATATATTACTGTTAGTTCACCCAATACAAGTCTCAAGGGCCACTCAAGGTAGATGGTTACTGAAAGAGATTGGAAAGAAAAGGTGAAGTAAGAGATCATTATGAGGATTAGTAGGATAGACATCAATTTACCCTAGACTTCAAGAGACTAATATTTTAGCTGTCAGGGAAGCATTTTCTCAGGAGTAATATCACTTGAAATAATTTAAAACAAACAAAATATAGTACAGAAAATTAACTATCTGGAAAGTGTATTAACAGAAATCTGAAGGTGCATATTGATATATAAAGATGTGTTTCAGAAAATAGGGAAAGTATAAAGAGAGAGGAAAATTGTTAGAAACAAAGAAAAATGTTCTGAATTGCTGTGTAATAGCTAGTGTTCTGTATGGCAGCAAATGTTGGACAATGCCCTCAGATGAAGAATGGATGTAAAGCAGAAAAGATGGGGTTCTACCAATGGATTCTTGGAATGAGAAACGTGAAAGTTTAAAAATAAAAAGGAATGAAAAGGAACCTGGTAAGAATCAGAAAGAGATAGATGGAATTTCTAGGAGACATAATGAGAAAAGAAGGCTTAAAGAATTTAACACTTACAAGGTATATTGAGGGTACAAGATAGGCACCTCGAGGTGGTGTAATGGTTAACAAGCTTGTCTCACTAGAACAATTATGTCTGAGTAGTGAGTTCGATCCTTACTGGGTGCCCCATACTTTTGGCCTTGTACCACATCTAAGCTATGCTTGGAAAATCACTATTGAGGCTACAAGCTTGGATGGCAACCAGTTTAAGGCAAGAAAAACTTTAAAGACCAAACTGTGAAGAAACAGGTTTTGATTGATTGTTTTTTATGGCTTATCAACCTTTTGCATGAAAGCCAGAAAATATTTTTAGATTGTAAGTCATTTTGGCAATAATAATTATTTACTGATACAAGTCCTATTAATTAACCCATAGCAGAAGGGAGAAGAGCTGGATTCATACCTTCCCATGGGTATTGGCATGTAAGTAAATGTAATGAATCCAAGGAGTTGGAACTTGGTTCTCTGATTTCCAATTCTGATCCATTATGTCATCCACAAATCCAAGCTTACAGCACATATGATAACTGGTAATTCTACATGATATGACCTTAAGCCAGAAGAAACCAGAAACCACTCCACTTTCTTGAGAATGTATGGTAACTCATAGATAATAAAGAAAAGAAATCTGTGGAGAGCCATGATTGTGTACGTCCTGAAAGAACCTGGCATTTTCAAAAAAGTATTAGTAGATATCCTTCTTTAAATGCCATGTGTGACGCATGCTTTGGTGATCATGCCTCTTTTTTTTTATTCATGATTAATTTGGCAGAAGAATTCCTGCAAAGGCTGCCATTAATTTCTGCAGTAGACTGGTTGTCAAACAAGGCTAGAGGACCCAGACTATCCTGCTATTTAACCCATAGCTGGGAGTAAAAGAGATAGATTCATACCTTTCCCAAGGGTATTTGAATGTAAGTGAACTTCACTGGAATTTGAACTTGGCTCTCTGATTTCTCACTCTGAGCCGTTATGCATCACACCACCTACACATCCAAGCTTACAGCACCTAGTATTCCCAAGCGGTCACTCATTAAGGCACTGACCAGACTCAATGTTGCTTAACTTTGGTTATCAAATAAGAACTGATGTTTCAGTTTGATATGACCGCTAGTTTAGTAATAGATATGATGGTCTTAAATGGCTTAAATGAAACTTTTTCAAGGAGAAAAACAAAGAATGTAAACAACAAGTTTGCTCAAACTTGTTGTTTACATTCTTTTCAAACGTATAGCAAAACAAGGTTCTTGAAGACAAAAAAGAGTGGTAAGAAAGCAAGAGTTAGGGCAACATAAAATAGGAGGTCATGGAGAACCATGATCGCCCACATCCTGAATTGGCATAGTATATCAAAGAAGAATATAGTAAGTTGTGGAAAAGCAGAAAAGGAGAAGGTAGTCTTGCGTATATCTAGTATTTCAAGCTCATGTCTTGTATAAATAAAATTTAAAAAAAAATCTTTGACTCGACAGCTGTTGTCTTAGGTGATTCAAAGTCACTCTCACCTAAACTTAACATCATAACATGTTCTCATCATCTTTTGGTATATTTTTTACCCAGTGGAAGAGATAATTCTGTGTTTGTATACGTCTGTATATGCACATATGAATATATACAAACGTACACACAAAGACACCCACATATATGTATATATATACAATATATTTTGATTATAATTATAGCAAGTACTTTGTTAGGCTTGTAAAATATCTTTTTGGTAGTGTGGCATGCCTATACTATTCTTTTAATTTGAATTTGTATAAGCAAAATCATGGCTTAGCTTCAGTCCCTTTTGCCACAGGGTTGCCTGTGTCTTTTCTATAAATACTTTGATGGTAATTGTTTGAAGGAGTTCTTTGCAATGGTACCTAAACTTTTTTAATTTAATCGCACTACCAGACTGGCATCAAGATCTCATCAACTGACAATTGAGCTGACTAGATGTAGCCATAAGTTCTATGCTAACAGTTTCTTTTTTCACACTTCTCACTTGTGGAACTCTCTTCCGGCTCCATGCTTTCCAGCCAATTTTAATCTGCAGAAATTTAAATGCAATGTCAATCACTATCTATTGTCCTCCTGATTACTCTTTCTTCCTCCTGCTTATTAATGTTTCTGTTCCTAATTGTTCCACACTCTGTAACCCCTTTGTGTCTTAGTGTTTTTACTGCCTTACATGGGGTGGTACTGATTAAAAAAGACAAAAAAAAAAAACAAATAAAACACACACAGGAATATATATTCAATTAACTGACAAAAGTTCAGTTGATTTATCTGATCCACCAACTTAAATTACCTATTTTTTCAATCATGGATGACATACATGCTACCACACCAGTTTAGAAATATCTAAACTGTCAGTTGTATAGAATTACTTTCTCAGATCAATGTTTAAAAAAGGCTTTGAATGAGTGTGTGTCTTGGCAAAAACCATTCTTGTGGACTGACGCTAAAGAATCACAAACAACTGTACCAAATAGCAGAAACCATATCACTTGAGGACTTTCAACAGCGGCAACAACTAAAATAGATATCACATGTAATTCAAAGAGAAATTAATATAATCAAGATGTTGATGTTCCACACTACTTGAAATAAAAGGTTAGGAAGGAAACCCCCGTCAATACTTGAAAGAGCTACTAGACTTGAGAAACTTATTTTCATGAAAAACTGTTTTTAAGATAATGATTTTATAAATTTCAACTGAAAGTATCTCTGGCTGCTTGGTGAATGAATGCCAATTGTTTCCTTATAAGGAAATGGATAACATTACCAATACTCTATCATCAAAGCATCTAAGGCCAAATTGGCAAATTTGGCTATAGAAAAAGGGATACAGGTTCGATTCCTGTTTGAGGCACAATCTTTCTTTAGTATGCTTTCTCAAACTGAGCTGGTTGTTATTGATTTCACTAAGAAAATAAAGAAAAAAACAGTGATAGCAACTCAAATATATTTACCCACTAAAAATAACATTTATGCTAATAATAAATAATGATGAATAAAAAAATCCACTAAAAATTCCACATATAAATACGAGTTGGGATCAAATATGAATTGGAATTTGACAATAAGATAAAAGGACAAATAGGAAATGTTTAACAATCTAACATGTTTCACTTTTATTGAAGCTTCATCAGAGAATAAGATATGGAGAAAAAGAAGAAAGAAATTCTGGTATTTTTATTTTTGTGTTGCTTGATTTTCATTGGTTAAGCATTCAACATTTTAAAACAACATTAGTGTAATTTGTAGTGTCCTGAATTCAAGGAAAGACTAAACATCCTTTCAGAGTCCTGACAAATTAATAGATTCCAAGCCTACCTGATAAAAAAAATATTTCTTTTTATATATATATATATATATATATATTATATATATATATATATATATAAAATATACTTTATGTATGTATGTGTATATATATATATATATATATATATATATATATATATATATAATATACTTTATGTATGTATGTGTATAATTGTTTTTATATATATATTTATATATATATATATATATATATATATATATATTCAGTAAATCAGCAAAAGTTCAGTTGACTTATCTGATTGACCAACCCCAGTTTCACATCAAAACTCTCATTAAGGCCAGATTTTCAATAAATCTATTGATATTATTATAAGTCCTTTATATATATATATATATATATATATATATATATAATGATGTGGCCAAGTGTTTGGGATTGAGGTGATCACAGTGTGTAACAAATCACACTGTGGGTTGACTACCAGAGCCTTGTAATTGAAATTAGGGAAAGGTAACTGTTCAGAACCTGACAATGGTTATACTTGCACAAAGTCACAAGTCATTGTGACCGAGGGTTTGAGTATACTGGCATTATTCAAACTGCTGATCATGAAAGACTATGCACTATCTCCCAGAAACTGTAAGTAAGGTCTGCTCAGCATAGTTGAGGTATAAATCACAGGTGGACCCTATCGGTTTTGAACAAACACAAATGTGCCTCAGCTGATGTCAGCGACAGGGATTATCTAGCTGCCCACTAACGAACAGGTGCAAGAGTTGCTAATGTATATAATACAAAGTCTGTCCAGAATGTCTTTATCTATTTTTTAATATCTTGAGAATGAGTTGAGTAGCCATGATGTCAGAAAAAGACTTTACTGTGTATACAGGAATACACATTTTTCTGTGAGTTTATTCAACAGTAAGACATTTTTGAGTGAGAGAGCTTGTGTCTATCATCTTCACAATGATCAAACTAATAGACCAGCAAACATTTGTGCAGGGATTTTATTTTTGTCAGGGAATTGTGTGTGTCGGTGGGTCATCAATTCCGCTAGGTCTGTCAGCTTCCCTACTACACAAGCTTTGTCTCTCTGCGACTTCCGTTGAAACAATGTTTACAAGTTTAAAGAGACTATTATGTTATGAAAAGTGCAAGAGAAATTCAAAGGCATGTGTGAAAGTTTGTTTTATTTTCTTCTTTTGATCATTTCACCCCGAGCAAGGCAATAATGCCACTAAGACACAAGGGCTTACTGGGAATGAAAGAAAATGTAAAAATTTTAGAAGGATGCTAAAACCTAACCCTAAACAGAAAACAAGGGATAAACCTCTACTATTCTGTTAATGCATCTAAAACTGAATTCATATACTTCAACCAACAAGGCCAAATACAAACTCAGATAAATCAATAAATTCTGTCAGATCATTTACATAACTAGAAAGTGAGATAGATTCTACTGAAAAGGATGTGAAAATTCACACAACTAAAGCCTGGGCCAACTTGAATAAAATAGACGTAATCTACAAATCTGACCGACCCGACAACTCAAACAGAGATTCTTCTTTCAAGCCACTGTAGAGGCAGTTTAATGTATGGTGCCACTACTTGGACATGAACTAACACCCTAGGGTCTAAGCTTGATGGAACCTACACTCAAATGCTGAGAGCTATACTTAACATCTCCTGGAGACAACATCTACCTAAGTCACAGCTCTATGAACCCATCCCTGATAATTATGTGAACATAGAATGCACTTTGCAGGACACTATTAGCAAGTAAAACAAGAACTCCTGAGTGATCTACTGTTCTGGACACCTAGCTATGGTGCAAGATGAGTTTGTTGCCTAGCAACCACCTATACGGACCAGCTATGTTATGACACAATGCCTCTCTAATGACCTTCTAAACTTGATGCAGGACTGTGATGGTTGGTATGATAAACTCATGACTGTCCAAGCTAACTCCATCTGTTCAATAAACAAGGAAGGCATGTGAACTGGGTGACAGCAGTAACTTGAAGGCATCATTGCTCTAAGGAGGTTATATTTTTATTAATATTTAATAACTGCATGTTTTTTGACAGAGCTTGTCTGTAAATTGGCTGGGAATAATCTTATAGCAAACTGTAACTTCTAATTGTTTAGTGTGACGGTCAAGTTAGTATTAAAAAATCTTCTGCAACACGATTATCAAATTTGCTGTTCATAGATTACATAATTCACTGGCATTGGAATTGTAGATTTTACAAGCTCAACTAATAATGTGTTTACAGTGATGCAGAAGGCAATGATCTCTTCTTTCACAGGACTGACAGCCTTAAGGTAAAGTGACAGTCTACAAGTTATGACAGCTGGGATTGATAATAGGCTGTTGTTGATTAGCTCCCAACAGAGACAGATCTGGTAGCTGGGCAACAAGCAAAACCCAGTGGTGAGAACAACGAGCAAAAGCTGTGTCCTAAATAAGGAACATAAAAGTAACATAATTTTTCCTTTCCATTACTGCTTTCTTTTCATATATATATATATATATATATATATATATATATATATATATATATGTTGCATGTAGGATAAATTGTGATGAATATAAATACATTTGTGTTTAACATATTGAACAACATATTTGTATATTCTAATACTCTATATGAAATGTTTTCAGACACAATTCATTTTGTAATTAATTTCTTTGAGTTATTCTAGTCCTTCATTTTGTTGTTAAGAGGTCATGAATATACTAATGCTTAATGTGGGCCTTGGAGAGTGAAAAAAAGATATTTTTTCTCTCTTTCTAAGAAAACCCTTTATGCTGCTGGCAAAAGATCTCACTGGG